TTAACGACACAGTAAACACGGGGCTGCGCTATACGATTTCACTTGTTATTTATGTACAAAGTTCCACATCCAAGCAGTAATATTTCATTTCCAGAATGCAATTCAATATGTCACGGTTGCGCGTTCGTATTTGCCTTTGTCTATTTGGAAAATTAATAGCGTGCCTGTTGCTTGATGAATGGCGTAATTTAAGTAGATAATCTCGTAATAGTAAATAATACATCTGTAATCGCAAAGTGGGTAAGCATAACCCATGATGAAAAGTGAATAACAACACAGTGAGTGATTGTTTGATCATTTTTATTTCAAATGTGTTTGCTCTCTTTTCGGATTTTATTATTATTTTTGATTATACGAAATTTGTTGCGTAAAAAAAAAACAGTAGCGCGTTTTGAAAAAACTTGCAATTTATCACATCCTTGCGACAAAAAAAGTGACGGTAATTAAGAAACGGTCAATTTCTGTCGCGACGTTTGCGCCTCTACTTGAATAAACGGGGCTATTGTTATTCTTTTGTGTGTGGTACGCGCAATATCGGTCCTCGTTGGCTTAACGTGCGACTCATTAATAATCGTCTCTTGTCTTCTTGTTTTCCCGTCGTCAGTGTGGTCTCGTGTGGAAAAATGCGCTCCGTTTTTCATGATAAAAACTTCGCCGCGCGTGCGCGCGCGCATTCTTCTCGTTTGCATTTCCGTCGTAGAAAAGACGAGATGTAGCACTTTCGTCCCTCGCTATCGCGTCTCGCGTAATTTCCATCTTATTTCGCCCGTGGCGACGCTTTAAATGCCTTCCCGCTGGGCATCTTGCGATCACCAGGGATAATTTCTAAGAATAAGTCCGACAGATAAGACAGACGAATAGACAGCTGATTTGCGGCCATTTCAGTACGTTCCCGCTAAGTTAATCTCCGTCACGGTAAAAAAAAAAAAGAAGTTTCTACGAAACACTATAGCCTCGAACAAGTAATATTTCTCCGGGGAAAAAGCAAGTGTCATAGAGCACGCCGATATTTTATAAAATAATATTAAGTAAGTCAAAAAGATGCGCAATCTTAATCCTTCACTGTAGATCTCAAAAATAAACTTACGAGTAAGACAGACTGGGTCGGTGAGACCCACGCGACTTTAAAATCGATAATTTCCGCGAAAAATCAATAGTTTTGCAATTTCGGGTTTTGGTTTTTTTTTTAATCAAAAGAATGAAATTTGAACAATTCTTTGTCGGTAAAAAACAATTTGAAAAAATCTGTAGAAGTTTGGAAGATTTATATAAGCGTTTAAAAAAATTAAATTTTCCACAAACGCCGATGCGCAATTTTTGAGTGGGTCTGGGAGGTCTCATGTTTGCACGCGAAAGGTTAAATTCAATATAATTCTATTCTCTTTAAGCAGGTTATCATCGCGTTTACAGTAGGTAAACAACAACATAAAATATTAGGTCTACCGGAAAGTTTTGTCCGTTTTTGGAATAAAACAAAATACAAATTTTTCTTACCGTCAATAAACTTTATTAAATAATATAATTGCCATTATTATTAATGATTTCTTGCCAGCGTGAGGGCAATTTGTATATCCCATTTTTCGAAAAATTAAGAAAAATTTGTATTTTGTTTTATTTCAAAAACGGACAGAACTTTCCGGTAGACCTAATACATATTTGACATTTGTTTTTTCAGTTTTGCAATAAGCTGGTTTTGCCTGATGACAAATCTGCTTGAAATGAAAGTAGAAATTTGATTTTGACGCGAAATGAATGGGTTTCATTAACTTTTCTTCCGCAATGTATTGCCAGTGGCTAGGTTTCAAATGCTTCTTTTATCAAACGTTTGATATAGGATTAGACGGCGTACAATATGTGTCATTAAGGTTAAATAGAAACGAAAGTATGTCGCCAGTATGTGACCAGAAACGGACCAATGAGTTTTTTGTCCGCTTTGATAACGGACTTGACAGAAAAAAGTTTTGTATATGCCTGTATATTTAATGCTCGTTTTTTCTCTCGATAGAAGAAACGCTTTTACCTCACCCGAATATTCATTTTTCGAACAATCAACAATTTTTCAATTTTATGGCAAACAAAAGAATACAAAAACAGTTTTCTATGTGAAAAAGAATTCTTGTAGTAATTGATTCTCAAAATTACTCTGTGTGTCTCTTTTTTCTCTTTGACTTTTTTTCCTATTTTTTTCATATCTTTTTCTCTCTCAAGAGCAGTATTGACTGTTATATTTAATTTCCATTTCACTGTTATTCTTCACTTTGTAGATAGATATTACTGTTTTGTTTATTTTTGGACTACATTAAAACTAAATTACTTAGTTTATAGTACTAATTTCCGATTTTTATCTTCTACAAGTATTAGGGGAGACCGGGGTTAGTTGCCTATAGGGGTAGGTAAACTAATTGTTAATAACATTGCACCTATATGTGCTTTGTCGCGGAAAAATTTTCTATAGAAACAAGTCACGTCTACTATGCTATTCATTTGTTTTCTACGCCGTGATCGCACGTTACTTCAGAATTATCAGCGTTTATCGAAAAATTAACTGCGTAAGTAAATATTTTTTCTTGAAGATTTTATGTTCTCATGCTGTATATAGTTACGATAGGATAAATGTTAAAGAAATATCTTAAAGTTTGTTTATTAAACAAACTATTGAAGCGGTAATTTTTTTATATATAATTAATTTAAGGTTAAGATAGAGCATTAAAGACAAAATGATCGTTCGGGGCTGGTTGGCTAATAACGTCTGGGGTTATATGACTAACTAGTCAACCAACTCCAGTGATATCAGTTTTTACTAAATTTTCAT